TGCCTGTAAACTGGCGTCCCTCATGTACAAAAATGAGAATATACTATTATTATTATTAAATAGTAAGGAAGATGAGGTAAGAATTTTCGGCACTTCATTTACGAATAGTAAGAATAGCAGGAGGCCAAGTACAGTTCTCTGAGGTATTTATTTATTTATTTAAACGCATTAGAACTTGGTACAATATGGCACCAAGAAGGATGCGCCACACAATAATAATAAAACAACATAGATGAAAAAAAAGGAAGGAAGGCAGGAAAAGAAAAAATATATATAAGTAGAGAACGAATAAAGAGCTTCATCTGGAAGGAAAACACTCATTCTTAACAGGTTCAAACAGTGTTCGTTAACTATCATCGGGAATGGAAGAAAGAAGGAAATCGCAACACATTCGCCATTGATTACGATTCTTGGCCATATCCGATAACGTTTCGAGCCATCGATTTGAGCTATCTCTCAGACCCCAACCAGGGAGTCTTGACACACCAACCGATGCTAATCTAGCACAGAAATCCTTCATCCCACGACGCCACGTCATGGGCTGACCACCTCTCCGCCTTTTCCATCCCGTCACAGGGCTAGCGAACAGAGACCTGTACGGAAGCCTCTGGGGTGACATTCGCAGCACATGTCCAAGCCACCGGAGCCGGTGTTTCCATATGACGACATTCAATGAATGGTGATCTCCACTGTGTTCAAACACACGCCGCCGAACCTCAGAATTACTCACGCGATGATGCCATCGAACGCAAGCAATCCTGCGGAGACAGCGGTGATCGAACACGCAGAGTCGCCTCACATCCTCAGCTCGGAGAGGCCAGGTTTCACAGGCGTAGAGCAGCGCAGCCCGCACCGAAGCATTGTATACCCGACCTTTGACAGCCAGGCTAACGTCGCGACGGTGCCAGAGGTGGTTCAAGTTGATGTATGCCACCCTAGCCTTCATTATACGGTTGGAAATCTCATCCGTCACCCCTCCGCCAGCACTCACACAACTACCCAGATACACAAACTTATCTGCAACTTCAAGTGGTTCACCTGCAAGAGTGAGTGCAGGTACAGGCTCCTGCCAATCTTGTAACAGTACTTTGCACTTAGATGGTGCAAAGCACATACCATACTTACAGACACTGATCGCCAACTGTGTTAGAAGTCGCATTGGGAACAACCATTTTGAGGACTACTCACTAACATCTCGAAACGACACGGATAGGCTGGGAATCTCGACAAAGGCGAAAGGTTGTCGAAGGTTAAGAAGCCAAGGTTAGCAAAGGTAAAATACAGGAAACTATGTGTAAAAATAAAAGTAAGATAGGAAGGAAATAAGTTGCTTGAGGGATCAATATTGCTTGGAGTCATTTTTCACTAGCGCGCGTTGAGTTTCAATGAGAGTTCGTTGCTTCAATTCATTCATTGTGTGCGGGCTGAGATACTGCCCGGGCGCCCAGACCGAAGCAGGTGGTTTTATTAAGGGACCACCCCCCGAGCCTTTGACTTGGAGTCTAATCCGCAAGGCAGCGGAGCAGCGTCAGGAGCTGTATTCCCATGGTTGCCGGTGACCCATATGGGTTCATACGCCATTCGATCCAATTGGAAACTGGAGCCCATGTACCCCATGGTAACTGCTTTTAGTCTAATCGCTATCCAAACAACCTTCCTGGCATGGTAGGACCTGCAGGGACATGAGTCCCAGCCAGTTTAGCTTGTTGGGTCACTGCGGCATTCAAGCCCGACCACCACGGCAAGGTAGCAGTTATCTGAGGCACTGCACTTAGTACTGCTTTCCACCCTGATAGTACACCATTAACCCTTACCTTCTGCCTCCTATCCATCAGGTAGTCACTAAGCCACTCACATAAGCGTTGGTCTAATCCGAAATGTTTAAGTTTACTAAGAAGACCTAAGTGGGATACCTTATCGAATGCTTTACCAAGATCGATAAATACAACGTCCAGTAGATGGTTTTTATCCCTGGCCTCAACCCAATCTTCCCTAGCTAACAGTAAGTTTGTCAAGCAGGATTGTTCTGGTCGGAGCCCATGCTGTTCAAATGCCAGTAAGCCATGTTTTTCCGTATGAGCTAAGAGCTGGTCCCTTATGAGTTTTTCTAATACCTTTGCTATAATGCAGGTCAGACTTACAGGCCTGTAGTTAGATACTAACTGCATGTTCCCATCTTTGGAGATGGGGCTCATAAAAGCATTTTTCCAGTCCCTGGGTAGCCTAGCCTGGATCAGAGACATCTGAAAAATCTCCGTAAGTGGAATGTATATTATATCCGCCAAGGAGGTTAGGAATCTAGGGTGAAGTCCGTCTGGTCCAGGTGATTTACCTAGCTTCAACTTAGACAGTAGTTTCAGAACCACTGCATCATCTACCACAATTGGGGGCATTTTAGGGGCTACATCAATTACTTCGCTACACCACTGGGTGGTACGTTTAGGCGAGAAAACATTACAGAAGTATTCAGAGAGCTCCTCAGCTTTTGTTTTGTCTGACTCAGCAGCCTCGCCTGTGTTGCTAATTAGGGACTGTATTCCACTACTAGTTTTAGTCCTACGTTCAATAAATGAGTACAGTCTTTTTGGATAATGCACACAATCCAGTACTAACTGTCTCTCATACTCTATACGACTTTTGTCAATCTCAAACTTACAAAGGTTTCGAACTTTGCAGTATTACATCCGAAAGTCATCCCTCCCAGTCACAGCAAACCGGCCCCATAAGTTCTTTCGTTTTCTTAGTGACCTCCTTATTTCATTGCTAATCCAAGGTGGTTTATGAGAGAATTTTCGAGACGTAGACCAAGGTACAAAGGGTGCAGTGACGCACTCTAGTGTGTTCCTAAATCCCACCCAAGCCTCCTCGACAGTCTGGTGTGAATTAACAGACCAGCCAGCTAGGGTTGCTGCATTTTGGATTGCAGGTATATTCGCTTTCCAAACGTTTGGGCGAGCGGCTGTTGACCTATGTGTGAGGGCCTGGATCCTGAACATAAAAGTAATAACTATGTGGTGACTACTGCTTAGCGGCGCCAGGCACCCAATGTTACCGACATCCTCCTTCTGGTATGTTAGCACCAAGTCTAGAGTGCACGGATCATGTTCAGGACGGCACAGTGTTGGTGCATCCACATTCTGCACAAGTGCGCATTCAAGTACTGCCAGTATTAGTTACCTGTTGAAACAATTGTTCGAAGTAGCTGATGTTAATTCCTCCCAACTAATATGAGAGGCATTAAAATCACTTACTATTAGACACCTATTCTTTCTACTCCACGTCTTTGGGTGATTTATAACGAAATTGTCAGCTTGGCTGGTAGGACTTCTATAAATAACCCCTATCGTTACAGTGCCTTTGTTCAAGTTAATGACACAACCTGCGGCTTCACAGGTGCCACTGTCATGAGCTTCCGACAACGTCGACCTAATTCCTATGTCATCTCGGATGTAAAGAGCGGCCCCTCACCTTTCCGACTACTTACTCTGTCTGCTCTAATGCAGATGTACCCAGGTATGAGTGGAGTTAAGTCTATACCCATTAACAACCATGTTTCGGTGATAGCAATCACATCCGGCTGTAGTTCCTCAGTCAACACTCCTAGTTCGGGAAGCTTATTCCTAAGACTACAAGCGTTCACGTAGCATACTGAGAGACCTATGTGTTCACTCGACTTATGAACAGAGAACTGGGCAACACAGGTTTCCAATACCTCACACACCGAGAACCCAACAGTTTGAGGTCTTTTTCACTTTTTTCTAATCGGGCCTTTAATTCAGACACTGCTTCTCTTCCATTAATTCTATCTTAAAATGCCAGTCTGGCCTAATTCTCATCTTTCTGTTCTTGATCTTGAATGCGCTGTTGAGAATAGTAGTTTTCTCCATCTCGTTCCCCAGTACTACCTTCAGCAGTCGTGGGGGACTTTCCGCTGCATCGACGATTCGTTTGCCGATACTGATGACTTTCCTTATGTGAACATTATTTGTTTTTTCCGGAAGTATTTCACAGATGATGGAGCTAACTATTTCGAGATCGTCAGCATGTCGAGCAGCTGGATCTTCTTCGATTCCTCCAAGTTCCAAATTACTATACTGTATTTCGAGTCCGAAGGTTTAATCTTATCAGTGTTTACGGCCGTTGAGACCTTATCACTAAGCACAGTACTTTTCTCTTTCCTATGATTCTCGAGCTTCCTACTCTTCGGCGCTAGCCGGGTGGAATCAGATGGTTCCACTTTACTCTCGCCGCAGTTGGAAGCTGTGCGTTCACCAGACACGCAACGCTTCATCTTTGTGGTATCACCGTGCCGTCTTACAATGTTGCCACTGTTTGCCCTCCTAGGTTTTCGGGGCTTTTTCTGTGCTGTTGTAGACTGCTGGGCACACTTTACCTCTGTTGCTTCTTTCGCAGCTAGGGGATGTGGTTCTGTCTCAGTCTTATGACGAAGGCCAGAATCCTCACTTATAACGTCTGTACTAGATGCTGCATTTTCCCCCTCATCAGTGGTTTTTGGTAACTTCTCGGACATGAGAAATCCTATGGCTTCTTGGATGAGGACATCCAACGGGTTTGTACAAAATTTGCACATCCACGGAGATGATGGTTGCACCAACACTTAGACCCAAACCATATGTCTAACATAACCCTAAACCCTGAAAGATAAAGGTAGACACAGCAGATCGACTATAAGCTGTTGAATCAAAGCATACTCCACATTCGTAGCTATGGATATGGTTGTATATTCAGGTTAATTCGATGGCTGCTATAGTTAGCCTTCACCATCTGTGCCTAGAAGTTCTTTGCTCAGATGGAAGCATGTATTAACTGCAATCATTGGGCAGCACGTCGTCACAGGATATTGTAATGATTCATTCAGTGAGAATAAAGAACTTAATTGTTGATTGAACCCGAAGCAGTTTCAGTCTTAAAGCCTCATGTCCTAAAATTATGAAGTTGGATATCCAATAACCTGGAAATTGCACAGACAGTGCACTCGCGCCTAATTGAAAAGGTGCGTTACTTACGGATTCCGCGATGGTTTTTATACTTTCGCAGTTTTAGGTATTTATATAATTCAAGCAAGATTTGGTAACAAATATTATGAATTCCGGTTTTGCTTCTAAAACGTAGTCTGAATGCAAGTAGCCCAATTATTACAACATACAGACTAGCAGTTAACATTGACTGTCGGTGTGGGCATTTCGCAGAAATAGGAGACTTTTCCCGATGAAGCAGTGCGACGCAGTACAATTTTTCATACTGGCCTCACTGTTGCATGTCAAGTATTATTAACTCATCCTGTAAATTGTGTCCACTATAAGCCGCATAGCTTTGAACTTGTGCAGTAGATAAATTATGACTAGATCTAGAGCTCCCAAGAATCAGAGATAAGTCGTGAGAAGCTACGTACTTGTCATGTGCTGAAATTAATACATCATACATTTATAGCTGTTTCGTAACTCAACCTAAATAGAAAATCAGAGGATTTTCGGAACAATTTTATGGTCTTGTTTTTTTTGCATCCCGTGAAAATCGCCCTGTTAAGTTGCCCCTGAAACCCCAAACTTTTATTTGGAAGTTTACATATGACAATGAAATACTAATCCGAATAATATACCTTTAGCTTTGTGAATATGAATGGCATTCAAAAACCTTGATGATGAAATGAAACTGGTAGAGTAGGCGTTGGTGTTAAATGACTATTTTATAAAATCGATTAAGATCACGAAAAATCACTAGAACAAGAAATAATAATGAAACGATTAATGACAACAAATATGAAAGAACTTGAGACATTTACGTTTATAAGGAGGGGAAAACTGGGGCCGTGTGGAATTCTTAATAAAACCTGCAAACTCGCTCAGTGACAAGCTTTGTAGGTTAAAGGATCCTATTGACCAAATTATACAAAATGATGTAGTTTACAAAATACATCGCAATGACTGTTAGGTCACACACCAGTAGATCTGGGTAGTTAGACTATGTGAACATGAGAATTTAGCTAAATATAGAATGGTTGACACTGCAGAGGTAAGTAATCTTTAGAAAAATTCAGCAATTGCGTTGCATGCAATTAAGACAGCCACACAATAGAGTGGGACGGAGTTACAATTCTGAAAAGTAATACAAACAGATGGAAGGAGATATAAAACTTGGGCACTGTGATAGAGTATAACTCCATTATGGATAAGATTTTATCTTGATAAATCACACAGTTATACAGTAATATTACTGTATAACACTGTGATTTATCAAAATAAAGTCATATCCATAATGGAGATGAAGGGAGAGGTTGATTATTAGATCTTTGTTCATCGAATCTACATCCAACACGTTCAGTAGGAATGTCTCATCACTACTGCCAACCAAATCAAGAGATGACAAATAGTGAGCTTATATCAAGGAAGTTATGTCAGTGCCTTGATAGGAATATGAGCAATGAATTGTGGTCAAGATGTCATCAGTGAATAATGCTGTATCACTTTGATATTTATCGAGCAAAATTATTCTATGATAGAATTATACTCTGCTATAATGCCCAAGTTCTATTTTTATATCAATGAATAAAGGTTATGTAAAAATGAATATGAAAATGCTCTTGAAGTTCTGGGACGAAAATTTGATCATTTTAAACCTACGCAAACAATTTTTGGGTAGTTTGTTTTGTTGTAATCGGCTAAGTAATTTTCACTGGCATGTGCTCAAAATAATGATTACGCCAAGGTAGTCAGACTAACCAACCCCCCCCCTCTATAATAAATTGCTGAGACTTTTATAGTTGTCACCAAAATATTGCGTTTTTTGTCTAAGTTTACCTGAAGAAGATTCGAAGCCAAATTCTAGTGTACGTTTATGATATAACAGTGTACAGGTCATTTGATAGCTTTACATATGGCAAATGAAACTGGGTTCAAACCCGTAATCTATTGATTAGAAGTCCAGTGATTTTCAGCTCTCAACCTGAGGCGGACCTGCCTTGTAAAATCGTCTTACAGCTGACTGAAGCAAAGCATATGCCAAATGTACATAGTGTTTCAAAAGACCCTAGCTTTCAGTGTCTTCATTCAGACAAAAATTGTATCGTCTAATTGCTGTTTTCTTTTTATTAAGTCAATCGACCGGTTAGTCATCAGTATGTCTACCATTACACTAAATAGGAATGGTGACTTAGGGTGTCTCTAGCGGACGACACTGGTTATTATCACTGCAGACGTCAACAACTGTCCATCAGCTCTTAAATGGCAGCAAGACTCCAAGTAAAATACCTTGCTTATCTTGATATTCTCTTCCCATTTCAATATTGTCATAATACATTTCGACAAAATCAACTGCTTTCTTTAGCTCAAGAAATATGGCAAGTGTTTGATGTCGCTTAATATTTCTCCCCCCCTCCAACATGTAGGAAATTGAAGATTTACTTAGTGTGCACTTATTCTAGATCATATTTGTTTGTTTCTTCCGGATATATTTTACTTCAGCTGTATTTAGTGTCCTTACGACTGTGAGCTTTTTATTATCGTCGATACTTGATTAGTCAAGTTGATCTTCAAGCACAGAGACGATTGAAATCAGATAACTATCTCTGTGCGAAGTCAAATGCTGATATATTTACCAGGGAATAATCTCGTTGACTTAGAATATGCAGACGATATAGTCCTTCTAGGCGAGGACGCTGACAAAATAGAGCAGAGTCTTCTGGACACCTTGAGCTGCAATCTACGAATGTTTGGAATGCGATTCACTCCTTCTGTCAAATGTCAGATGATGTTACAGGACTGGACTACACTGACTCCTAATTTAGAAATAGGGAGTGAAGTGGTAGAGCACGTTGACTGCTTCACTTACTTGGGAAGTACCATCAGCCCCAACAGGTTGATCTCCGACGAAATCTCAGCACGAATACAGAGGGCTAGGTTCGCATATGCCAGTTTACGCCGTCTCTGGCATAGACGTGATATCCGACTATCAACCAAAGAGCGGGTGTACTGCTCAACAGTCCGCTCCGTCCTCCTTTATGGCTGTGAGACATGGCCATTGAGAGCAGAAGACATGAAAAGATTAGCTGTCTTCGATCATAGGTGTCTGCGTTCTATCTCCCGCGTGGTGGTATAATAAGGTGAGCAATATTGAGGTTAGGCGTCGAGTGCTAGGTAAGGAGGGGAAATCAGTCGACGAGACTGTGAAATTACATCGATTGAGATGGTTAGGACATGTGTTACGTATGCCTAGCCATCCATCGCCTTCCTCGACAATAGGCAATGTTAGCTGATATAGGGTTAGGCTGGAAAAGAGCTAGCGGCGGTCAAACCAAAACATGGCACCAGTCAATGATATCCACAACAGTTAGTCTAAGCCAGCCACGTAGGAAGGTGTAAACTTCCTGGTTGGGGCCCTCGGGATGGTAAAAACCAATGGTTGGAAACAAATGGTGACATGGCTGAAAATCGTTCTTGGTGATGGTTGGTGCAGATGCATCCACTCCTTGTGACTTATGATTTCCAATTGAACTGTTTTGTCCTCCGTTATTACTATACCTTTGTCTCGCACCTCTGTCTACTGTCTCTGTTATGCATTTCTTCTCTTGCTTTGTGTGCTACATGGGGAGAATGGGGCGACTTGAACAGCCGCACATATGTGCAAAGTTCTATGTCAAAAACTGACAGATTATTTACCTAACGAATATGTTGAACACAATGGTCTTAATAATTTAGTATTACTCAATGTGATTTTATGGTGAGCATTGTCCTTTGTTGTTGCTAGTATTTTCTGCAAAATTAGTATGATTGAATGCTTTAATGAAAGAATACTACTCTCACTCATTTTATTTGGTCTTCTTTTTGTTTTGGAGGTACCTCATTTATCCAGCGGCTGAGAAGCATCATGAACTGTTTATCTCACATCAATTGTTTTCATTTTAATGTTGTAATTATTTAAAAAAAGACAGTCGAGACATGTCAGCTGCAAGAGTTTGTTGGCTATATCATCACCAATTGTTTCAGTTGTACAAAGTTTATTCTATGCCTATCCAGCGAACATTGTGTTCTAAACCAAGCTATAAAATTTCCACATTGTTTGATGGTAATACAACGAATCATCAAATTACCAGGAATAAAATTTATTCTATTCTCTCACCACTAGGAGATTTCAGTGTTTCAATTGATGATTTTAGAAGTATGAAAAATAATTTACATCCAAAACAGATATCATCATTTTGGCCGTGTATTATAGACTATGCTATATCGAATAATTATTTTGAATTAAGAAAATCATTAATAAACTACATTCTGTCTGATAAACACGAACATTCTAATACCACACTGATAAAAATGTTAAATTTACTGATCTATGAAGAATGTTATAATGATTTCAAAATGTTGTATAACGAATTGATAGCGCGATTAACTCCTGTCGAGAAAAAAGTCTTTTTTAATGATCTTGCCAAGTTATTAGCACGAAGTCCTTATTGGAGGGAATCTTTAGAACTTCTGTCAACTTCAGAAATGAATGGATTCGATTATACAAAAGTTTATGAAATGATATGTCTGTCTGCTATCAAGTTTGATAATGTATCTTCTGTATTTGAATGCTTGAACCAGTTAAAGTGTTGTCCAAAAGATGATGTATTTTTCAAATTCTTTGATAAATTATCAACAGTTGAAGAAGAAGAGGAACAAGAAGAAGCAGTTGGCTTGGTTGACCAGTTGTTCCAATTGATGCGTACTCACCGATGGATAATGTCATCTGAGGTTGCTAAGTATATTGATGCTTGGTTTTGCAAATTGAAGGATAAACGTTGGATGGGAAATCTATCCGCGCATATCAGTAGTAGGTCAGTGTTATTTCTTCACCTCGATTATTAATGTGTGTTACATAATCTCTAAAAAAAACTATCCAAAATCTTTTTAGAGGTTACTTTTGCTCAGTATGTAATGGGAGTTTACCGCCAGCAGATATGTCACAGTTTCGTCTTTCAGAAATGGCTGATAGATTTTTTGAAACAGTAGTAAAGGTAACAGACTTTTATGTATATATATATATATATATATATTCATCACACTTCTTTTTTCTAGGGGACAGATATTAGAAATTTATTCATGTCAGCGAAATCAGATGAAATTGATACATTGCATCAATTTCTTGATTCTCAAACAGAACCTTTAGATTGTATCATTGATTTTTTGAATCTTATGAATACTAGACGGTTTCAGTTTACTGATTCATCGGGAATACTTGTTGCTGAGGTAATTTTTTGTTGTTTTTGTCATTATTGATCTGTTTTGATTGTTAAACTATTTAAGTATTGCATAGTATTATACGTCTAGTGAACTTGCGTTGTAAATCTAAACCATACGATTGTTAAAACAATTAGTCCCGTTTTGATAAATTTGAATAAGGCATTAAGAAGACAAATTTCGTGAGATGATGTCGTCATTTCGTAGTTTCTTTACAACTGCTTTACAACTAACATGGTTAACAATAATAATAAAATAAAGTTCATGACAATTACTCAGTTAAATAAAAAACACAAAAGTACATACTAATGACCAATCATATTTAGATAGGTCATATAATCCATGGTAAGCGAAGATTGAAGTCTATCTTCTCTCCTAGTCATAGTAATATCCAGGAAACTGAGTTTGTTATTCGATTCTAGTTCGGAAGTCATTCGAATATTTGGATGAATATGATTAAATAGGGTAATAAACTTTTCAATAGATTTATTATTATTACCAATAATAATAGTATCATTTACATAACGTTTATACAGCATAAATTCTCCAAGCATACCTTGCATTTGTTTCTCTAATTTCGACATGATGGTACGATTCAGCGATCTATTTTTCGTAAACAGACATGAAGTGGACAATATCTTCATTTTACCAGTTTTGTTCCTATCTAGTATAAACGTTCCCTATTGAAATGTTTGTTCTCAAGGGTCCGAAAAATATGCACGAGTGACACAGTGATGGATGAGTTTCGACATATACATTCAGTTTTATTAGCTAATGGTTATCCGGAAAACTTTATCACTTGTCACAGTAAAGAAAGACCACATCTAGAAAAGACAGCTACTGTACCAAAGAAAGCTATCTTTATTTATCTACCATTCAAGGGCGACCAGATTGTGCATTTGACAGCTCAAAGACTTCGGTCAGCCATCAAACGCACATTTTACGCCGCATCTCTTTTTCTCACTTGCCGAACATTTTCGATCCCTGTACCTACGATTAGAGGGCGAAATTCTGTGCACTCTACTTCAAACTGTATCTACAAGTTCACCTGCAGTTGCGGTGACACCTATATAGGTAGGACCAACAGAATGTTCCAATGTCGTCGAACATGTTCCAAAATGGTTATTAAATCATATAGAAAATCCCAAGGCTATTAATCTTAATAGAAATCCAGCAACATCCATTGCAAAACACTTATTAATGTCAGGTCACAAAATCAATATTATTAATGACTTTCACAATTATTTCACATAACTCTAATTCAAGGTTATTGAAGGTGATGGAAGCACTTTGGATTAATCATATACAGCCTAAACTGCGTGTACAAAAATCAATAGACTTCAATCTTCGCCTACCCTGGACTACATGACCTATCTAAATATGATTGGTCATTAGTATGTACTTTTGTGTTTTTTATTTAACTGAGTAATTGTCATGAACTTTATTTTATTATTGTTAACCATGTTAGTTATAAAGCGTTTGTAAAGAAACTACGAAATGATATCATCTCGTGAAATTTGTCTTCTAAATGCCTTATTCATACGATTGTTGTTTAAAACCTACAGTAACTGTTTTCATTTTGGGTAACTGCTTATTTTTGTGGTAAATTATACAACTCGAATTCAAATACTTCATTGTAAGAATAAAAGGCTTGGAGCATGTATTAATCCTTTTCTAACGGGTGTCCTTGTGCAATGAAGTTTCTGTAGCAGTTTGATTGGTTTTCCGGGGTAAGGTCGGCAGCCCTGTACCCAGCCCTCTCTCTTTTCCTGGGATTGGGACTGGCTAGAAAACTAACAAGTTAGTAAACTAACCGAAGTTTAACGGGTATGCGTTTTAATTCATTTTGTGTGTGTGTGTGTGTGTGTTCAGTCTCTTTCATGAGCTTACGCCGAGAAAATGAAAATCACTTCCCCCTCACTCCTGATTTAGTTCAGAATTAGTGATCTGATAGAAAAGCTGCTTCGCTATATCAAAGTTTTGCCTTGGCTTTTGTCTATCCCTGTGATGTATTATTGCTCGTTCTATGTTGTAAAGGTGAAGAAAGACGGGTCAGATCGAAAGCCATTCCTGGAAGTCCTGTACATCATAATTAAATTTCTATAAGATAATGATAAGAAAAGAGATTTAGCCCTTCGGGTTATCCAAAGTAGAAATTTAAACTTTTTCGTATTACATGCGTTCAACAAATAAAGTTGTTTCCATGTACTGTCTGATTTTGTCAGTTTGCAGTTTGTTACCTAGAGAAGTTTGATTTTCAGCCTAGTCTGTCTGTCTGGATTCAACATAGAACTTGGCACCGAAGTGCATTTTAGGGGACTATCGATGGTAGTATTTTGGCTTCCGTCGTTTTCAGTGCACACAGAGTGAAGATGAAGTGAAGAGCCATCAAGTAGAGGAGTTGTATCAGTAGAAAGAAGGCAAGATAATAGACATGAAGACAAAGATGAGTGAGGATTAGAGAGGTTTCGCGTGTACTTCGGATTGTGAGGGCGATTGTTACTTCCCAGCTGCCCACACCGTGGAAGTTGGTTGCGTGACCGCAGAGCCCAGGGGCCAACTGCTTGAGGCCGGTCACACACGGCCTGTTTTTGTTTCTTGTTTTTCATTTGGTGTGTCTCAGTAGCGTATTTATCACTTCTGCCCAGTGACACGGCAGCAGGAAGCGCGGTCGTTGTTAATCTGGGCCCCGACCGATCCGGCATGATATTTTGTGATTTTGTTTGAGTCATAGCATTGGATTGGGTAACTGCTTTTTGTCTAACCGTTATCCAAACAACCTTTCTGGTATGGTAGGACCTCAAGCGACATAAGTCTCAGCCATTGCGGTGTTCAAGCCCGACTACCACGTCAAGGTAGCAGCTTTCGGTCGGGGTTTCAGCCTAGTTACCGAGTGTGGGTGGATAAAGGATTTTGTTGTCTCTAGGAAAAATAACCTGAAATGTAGTCCCACTTTTTATTCGTCATCATCCTAAATATACTTTTTTATGAACAGCTTAAGTAGCTCTTACAGTTGTAGGATTTTGGCAGTACTATGCGACTTAGTGTTGTAATAGCAATGCAGTTTTCTGCATGTTGAAACTAATACAGTGTTGGAGAGGTCTTGAATCTAGCCAATGAGAATTGTTTCTACCTCTCCTGAATATTGTTGTTACATTATTTTATGTGATGCTTATGGTATACAAAGCTGATACACTCTGATGAATAGCCGACTGTCGCTTCTTGTAAACGACTTTTGTTGTTGATAAAAATATTACACAATATGAATGAAGTGTGATAAATTAAAGTCATTGTGACTGTTGGTTTCAGTCATATGGGAACTGTAGACTATCTCAATAAAGTCCAATAGATCAGTCCAATACTAAGAATCATTGATAAGGGACTCTTTCTAAAAGTGCTCAATAATAGTTATTTCATCACTCACGGGTGTTCTGCGAATCTGCGTATTCGATCATCGCTGTCTCCATAGAATTGCTTGCAGTCGATGACGTCATCATCGTACACAAGTAACTCTGAGGTCCAGTGGCTTGGACATGTGCTACGAATGTCATTCCAGAGGCTTCCGTACCGGTCTCTGTCCGCTATTCCTGGGACGGGATGGAAAAAGCGGAGAAGAAGTGGACAATCTATGACATAGCGTCGTGGGATGAAGGATATTTGTGCTAGGTTAGCATCGGTTGGTGCGGCACGTCTCCCTGGTTGGAGTCCGAGAGAAATAGCTCGAATCGATGGCTCAAAACGTTATCGGATATGGCCAAGAATCGTAATCAATGATGGGCGTGCTGCAGTTTCCTTCTTTCTTCCCTTTCTGACAATAATTCGACGAATGCTATTCGGTCTTGTCAAATATAACTGTTTTATTCCCAGATGAACTCCTTTATTCATTATTTCCCTACTTTTTCATATGTTGTTTTATTATTATTGCGTGATACATCTTCTTGGTGCCATATCGTACCATGTTTTGTGTTTTAAACAAAAATAGATCAATTGCGTTCTTATATACTTTTGTCCATTATGACTTTGTCATATTTTTTCCCTACTTCTCTGGAATGTGACGAGTTGCACCATCCGTGTAAAGTTCTGTGTAGTTAAATCGATAAGTGATTTATCTGTCTTATAATTAAACGCTTTTTATTCACACTGTAGTAGCAATTGACTGCAACATATATACTTCCATTATGGGTAAATTTTGTTTTGATAAAGTCTCACAGTGTTATACAGTAATGTTTACTGATGACCACGTTTCGAGCACAATTTATTGCTGCTCATAATCATATCAAGGTAATCACACGACTTCCTAAATTCATTTATATAGTTCCATTATTTTTCACTTGACTTGATGGGTAGTAATATTTTCCATATTTCGGGTATGAGTGATGAATAATTCCTATTGCATGTGTTGGGTGTAGATTCAATGAACAAGGATTCAGTAATCAACGTCTCTCTCTCTAACCACCTAGATTACTTTTTAGAATTTTAACCCTCTTCGACCATGCTATTGTGTGGTTGTTTGTTAATGCGTGAAGTGCAATTGCTGAGCTTTTTTCTAAATTACTTATCTTCTCTGGGTCAACCATTCTTACCTTAGCTAAATTCTTATGTTCTGACAATCTGACTACCCCTGACCTACTACTTTGACCTATGTAGTTGACCTGACTCACAGTCATTGCAGGGTATTTTGTAAATTATATTATTTTGTCTAATTGGGTCCACGGACAGGGTCCTTTACCCTGCAGAGCTTGTCCCTGAGTGAGTTTGTAGGTTTAAATGCCACCCTAATTCCTGTTTTATTTAGAATCCTACGTAGGGTCTCAGATGTCCCCTCCTTATATGGTATAACTGTAGATGACTTATATTCTCTCTTATTTATGTTATGATTACTAGTTTCACAATTATTTTTATTTTGCTTTTGGCCTTTTTCAATCTTCCTAATGAGTTTTACAGGATGGTTATTTAACACCAACGCCTCTTCCATCTGTTTTATTTCATCATTTAGGTCTTTTCTTGTGCTACTTAGTGCCATTGCTCGGTTTGTTAAACACTTAACTAAGCCTGCCTTGACAGTTAAAGGATGAGACGAATTAAAGTCTAAATATCTATTAGAATACGTTGGTTTTTTATAAACGCTAGTGTGCAGTTTACCTTCTATTTGTTTTATCTTACAATCTAACATAGCTAATTCTCCTTGTTCATTTTCCGATTCAAATGTGAATTTTATTCCCTCCACTAGTGAGTTTATGTGTATCAAGAAGCTAGAGATATGTTCTGTTTTTAACACTGTGAAACACTGTGCCATCCACATATCTCCACCATATTTTTTTGGAGTACAAAAATTACAAAAACAAAATTTACACATAATGGAATTACACTCTACCACAGTGCACAAGTTTTATTCTTATATCAATGCAATATATATACTTTAATTGCGACTATATTACCTCAGTATCAGTTTTCTGTTTTGGTGTTTTTCACCAATGTCATACAGTATAAATGAGCTTGCTGTCATTCAAAGCAACTCAGTAAGTTAACATCTCATTCAAACATTTGCGCCAATCCAATGCACTAGTTGACAGGTGAATCTTTACAGATATTTAGCTCACCAACTAAGGCATTTAAGTTTTGACTAGTGAATACTGGTTTCCAACTACATTCCACAACCAATCATCAGCATAAACTCACTTAACTAACCATGATGCTTAAATCGAGTAACAGTGTTGTACTGTTATTCAGTTTGCCTGTTTTCCACTATACGATGGCGGTTCAATGGTAGAATGCTCACCAGCCGTACTGGTGGTCAAGGTGGTGCGATGCCTGACGCACCGACTCAATCCTAGTTTACCAGTCAAACCCGACCGAAAGCTGCTACCTTGACGCGGTGGTCGGGCTTGAACACCGCGATGACCCAGTAAGCTATACTGGCTGAGACTTATGTCGCTTGAGGTCCTACCATGCCAGACAGGTTGTTTGGATAGCGGTTAGACAAAAAGCAGTTACCCAACCCAATGCTATGACTCAAAGTAAATCACAAAATATCATGCCGGATCGGTCGGGGCCCGGATTAACAAAGACCGCGCTTCCTGCTGCCGTGACACAGGGCAGAAGTGATAAATACGCTACTGAGACACACCAAATGAAAAAGAACAAACAAAAACAGGCCGTGTGTGACCGGCCTCAAGCAGTTGTCCCCTGGGCTCTGCGGTCACGCAACCAACTTCCACGGTGTGGGCAGCCGGGAAGTAACAACCGCCCTCACAATCCGAAGTGCACGCGAAACCTCTCTAATCCTCACTCATCTTTGTCTTCATGTCTATTATCTTGCCTTCCTTCTACTAATGCAACTCCTCTACTTTATGGCTAATAATACCAGTCAATAGTTAGCAATGGAAAGAGGCAGGGTCTGGTGTGAGGCTAGCAACTCTTCTAGTTTGTAAAAGCGACAGTAACACTACTGGAACTTCAAAGCTTGAGTCCTTATATCTGACTCTGAAAGCAAAGCATGTAAACAAAAGAACCTTCCACTACATGTCAGTACCTTATGTTCGTGAACTAATTAAATATATGCAGACTTAATTGCTTTCTCTAGAAGCTGTCTGGAGGTCTGACTCATTGGCGTAATTAATCACTCGGTTTTAGCCGATGCGTCCAGGTTCGGACCCACCATCCATCTACTTCAAACTGGGCAACTTGGTAGTATCAGTAGCCCTCATACAATGAAATATGGCTTACATGAAAAGTCTGTTGTGGGTAATTGAGTTCTCGAGAAGCAGTTTTGTTAGACTTATGAGTAGAGGAAGTAATAAGCTTTCAGAAGAAAAATTTTTTTTCTTTCAAAATCTGTCCGTTTTAGGTGCTGAGACAAATCAACAAAGATTTCAACCTGAGACGGTTTTGTTTGGTCAGTAAAGGGAATACAACGCTGCGCAGACCAGGATTTTGGAATCCAATCAAAATTTTAGGAAATCAGTTAGGCATATCTGTTCATAAGTTTTGTACAAATGCCAAGTAAGTCTCCACGTATATTTACAGCTACTTTATTTTGATTTTGGGAGAATTTCAGTGTGTAGGGAAGTAGTCACTTATTAATGTTTGTCACTGTATTTCTTTCACTCTGTCTGTCTGTCTGCTTTCGACATAGAACTTTGTACCGATGTGCAGCAGTTCAAGTCGCCACACTCCCTCCATGTAGCACACAAAGCAAGAGAAGAAAGTAGAAGAAATGCATAACAGAGACAGTAGACAGGGATATGAGACAAAAGGAGTAATAATAAGGAAGAACAATATAGTTTCATTGGAAATTATAAGTCACAAGGAGTGGATGCAGCTGCACCAGCCATTGAGAACGATTTTGAGCCATATCGCCGATTGTCTCCAGTCATTGGTTTTTACCGTCCCGAGGACCCCAACCAGTCAGGAAACCAGTCTACACCGTCCTACGTGGATGGCCAAGACTAACTGTTGTAGATTTCATTGACTGGTGCCATGTTTTTGTTTGACCGCCGCTAGCTCTTTTCCAACCTGGCCCTATATCAGCTAACATCACCTGTCGAGGAAGGCGATGGCTAAGCATGCACGCTTGACACATGTCCTAACCATCTCAGTCGATGTAATTTCACAGTCTCGTCTGTTGATTTCCCCACCTTACCTAGCACTCGACGCCTAACCTCAATATTGCTCACCTTATTATACCACTTCACACGGGAGATAGAACGCAGACACCTATGATCAAAGACAGCTAATCTTTCCATGTCTTTCACTCTCAATGGCCAGGTCTCACAGCCATAAAGGAGGACGGAGCGGACTGATGAGCAGTATACATGTCCTTTGGTTGATAGCCGGATATCACATCTACGCCAGAGACGGCGTAAACTGGCATATGCGAAACTAGCCCTCTGTATCCGTGTTGAGATTTTGTCAGAGATCAACCCGTTGGGGCTGATGGTACTTCCCAAACAAGTGAAGCGGTCAACGTGCTCTACCACTTCACTCCCTATTTCTAAATTAGGAGTCAGTGTAGTCCAGTCCTGTAACATCATCTTACATTTGAAAGAAGGAGTGAATCGCATGCCAAACATTCGTAGATTGTCAGCAGCCTCGCTGTTTCACTCAACATCTGTTTGTATAGTTGTTTTTTGCCTTGTGGCATATTTAAGAGGTGGTGTGGCAACCCAAAACTGTATATCTACCCCCTGCTCACTTTTCACCTGATCTGCTACTCTCTGTTTACCACATATTGAAATAGTTGATGTGCTAATCGCCTGATTAATTTTGTGATATCAGCCATCGTAGGTCATTAGAATTTCCTATTTCAGATAGTATTTTCAAGTTATCGCATATAAGAGTTGTTAAACATTTTATTATTACAATTATGAAAACACAAACTTAGCGCACCATGAGAACTAGGAGATGCGCCACACAAAATCACGTAGCTTATTGTGTGAGGGCTGGAATACTGCCTAAATGTTCATACCGAAGCAGGTGGTTGTCTTAAGAGATCACTTCCTGCTGCGTTGACTTAAAATCAGATTTAAAAAGCAGTAGAACAGTATCTGGAGCTATGTCCTCATAGTTTTCGGTGTCCGAAAACAGGTTCATATGCCATTCTATCTTTGCAGATTCTCCAGCCTATGTACACCCCAGGTTTGGAATCAGAGTTCTCCATTTCCTCTAGGCTAGACTACCACTTACACCAGTCTGGTGGTAAGCTCCAGGCGTTCGCATTTGCTCCTTCACTTTCATGAAGAACACCTGCTCCGCATGAAGGCAGTGGTTAAGGCTTACCTGGCAGAGGCTATATACCCATGGGCACACGAGAACAGTTTTAGGAGAAGATCGAAGTCAACCCACCCTCAGTCGTACTAGGTTGTTTATAGGGGCTTAACGCTCTATAGTAAGACTTGTAGCTTTCTGCATAAAAACTGTTCCATAAATAGTAAGAAGTATAGATCTCGGCTAATCAAAAGGGTTACAAACAATCATATCTGACCTTAAACAACGTACAGACGTGAACTAATATATATATATATATATATATATACTATTGCGTTAGGTTCAGAGAGGAACATAGGGCTTCGACAGCACATCTGCGTTTCGTTTTGTTCTCTGTGGTCCTCTTTAGCTAGCTTTACGACTGCCCATAAGTTCCCATCTTCTCCTCACATTATCTCCCCCTTGTCACCCTTGGATGCTCAACTCGACCTTTCTCATGAAGTCCTACTTGAGAGCGTGGCGTGTGATGTCACTAGCAATGGTCTTGTAGCGGTAAGTAATTCCCAAAAATTATCAGCCTGAAGAATTCACCACTCAACAGTGGATGCTGACCTCCACTATTTAAGTCGACTGGTTAAGTTGAAGGTTTTCGGTTTAGCATTCACGACATTTAGCATGCTATCGTGTTACGTTGGTTCGTTAGTACATGATCCCCTAGCTAGACAAGCAATCATCATCGCACTGTAATTCTGATCTCAAAGTGTATCTCGTATTTTGAGCGGTCAATTTGGTGTTTTGATTTGTCTTTGGCCGAAGCAGAACAAATACTATAGGAGTTTGGGGGATAAGAACTTACGTCGCATACATAGTACTTTGCGTAAATGTCATCACCCCTTCTCCTAAACTGGGGAACCTGCAGACGAACTTCTGTCGTTCACTTCTTAAATCTCCTCGGCATGTTTCTGATCCATCTGCACTTTCCTTTCCATATTTGTTGGGCAGTAGGTCCTTGGTTGGTCCGTTAAATTAAACAGTTTTTTGTTCTCAATCCTTTTTGGCCATCTAATCTTCAGCATAGAGAGAAGGCAGCTGTTGATAAAAGTCTGAAGCCTGTACGAAATGTTTTTGGTGACGCGTGCAGCAAGTCTCTGGACCATGTAGAATTACTGACAAGATATTGGTGTTGGAATTCGGATCTTCTCCATTGTGCTGAGCGCTGTAGATCTCCACACCGATCTCAGATTATTAAAGGTCTGTCTTACTGTTTCGATCCAGCCTGGTTTTAACATCTTCATCCGTGCTGCCTGTAGTTGAAAAAATACTGCCTAGATAAGTGAATTTCTGCTGTCGATGGTGATGGATACTTATCACCTCTGTCTTCTCATGCTCACCTGAAGTCCTGTCTTCGCTTCTTGCTTCTTCTGCCAACTTGTTGGTGTTTGCTTGTAGATCTTCGAGTTTGGGCGACACCAGACATAAGTCATCCGCGAAATCGAGATCTTGTAGTGTCTTCTCGCTTCCCACAGTCGGGAATATCATCAGTGGTTGCAAGCAGTCATATCTTTACTCCTGTATTCACTTCAAAGACTTCGCTAAGTTTTCCGTTGTGAATCACTTGACATGTTGATATTTTTAATTTATTCCATCACGTTCCCAGTGGACCACAGGGCTTCAAGCTAGAGGCTTGAAGTTTCGGTAGTAGAGGTGTTTCTTTTACGGGTTGGGGTTACTGGCCTCATGCCCAACCTTCCGTCTTTATCGTTCTTATTACCAGCTTAGCGAGGTAAAGGAGTGCGTCGGTGGCTTGGGATCGAACCCCGAACCACGTGAGGCGTGGTTGGCGAACATTCTATCGCTTAGCCACCGACGCAGTTGACATGTGGCATTGTCACATAGCTATTGGATAAGGTTAATAAAGATTCCCGGCATCCCATAGTGTTGAATTTGCTTTAGAAGCACTTCGCGATCAACCCTGTCAAAGGACGTCACTTATTTTATATTAAGTCATGTTAGCCGAATTAGAAATGGGTCGGAAGTAACGTCAGAATAGTCAGGGCGACTTTTCATATGATCTGTAAATATCTGTGTCATTTGTTTTTGAAACCTGAGATTTTTGTTTATGGCGAGTATCGTTATAATATTAACTTCTCTTTATATATTTCCAGGTCTGAAGACGATGCATTCCTGCTTTATATGGCCTTAAAATCTGGTCCCCAATGTTACATTGTCTCTAATGATGAATTTAAAAATTATCGTTTCTCAGCAGGTCGAGAGCTAGGAGAACAAATCTCTAGATGGCAATCGCATAGACATATTGTCCTACAACCTTTCATTCCATCAGTATATTTGGTAAAAATTGATTTTTCACAAAATATCGGTCATAAACTTTAATTCTGTTATTATTATTATTATTAGAAACACTGATTTGATACGTTATAGACAGCAGGGGATTCGTCACAGTGTAGTCAGTCAGTTAACTTGTAGACAAACTAACACCCATAATATCCAAGAATTGGTTTTCTAGGGGTTCTATTGTTTCAGGTTAGACTGAGGATTGATATCAGTCAGAGAACCATTGAAAATCAGGGATTACTGGACAAGACAGCTGTTTCGTCTTAGTTTGGGACTCATTATCAGTACGCAGTTTAACCTGAAGCAAGTAGAATCCCTACAAAAACAAATTCTTGAAAGTTAATCTGATCTTCGCTAGTGACTGGTTGGCTTCAGGACGAAGTTGCCTGGAGTTCTAGTGAGAAGTCATGACCAGTTGGTTTCATCCAGTCGGGAGTGAGGACAGATGCTCGCTGATGATATTGGTTGGTGGTCGCGCTAAAATTCATGAACCATTAAATCGACTTCCAGGGGCTGAATGGTATACGAGCTTGCCTTGTGATCGGAAGGTCCTGGGTTCGAGCCACGCCCGGTGGGTGCGTTCTGCCTCTTAGGCAGACAAAACAGCTGTCCAGCACTCCCTGTTGGTTTTCAATGGTTCTCTAACTGATATCAATCCGTGTTCTAACCTGAAACCCATAATATCGACTAGTCTGTTGATAGATTATTCATTCCTGTTTTGCTGGAAATTCAATTAATACTCCCTAACTGAGTTTCAACATAGAACTTTTCATACAGAAGTGTAGCAGTTTAGGTAGGCACACTCCATGTAGCACACAAAGTAGACAGAAGAGGGCAAAAAGGAATAGATAAAAAACCATAATAAGCAGAAATGTGCGAAAGAAAGAGAGAATAAAACTCTAGAAAAGCAGGAGAGTTTAATGAATTCACAAGCTGACTCCAGGTTTTGACTTTACCACTCTTAAATCTCCTTTTCAACCTAATCCTACTCCAACTAACCTGGCTTATCGAGGAAGGTTCTGTCTCCTTTCCTAACATTCTACGCCTAACTCCAATATTACTGACTATAAGATACCACTTGGCATGGGAGATAGAACGCAAATACCTGTTGTGGTCAAAAACAGCTAGCCCTTTCATAGTTTTTCACTTCCAGTGTCCATGCCTCACTGCCACAAAGGAGAACAGAGCTAACTGTTGTATAGTAAACATATTCTTTCATTGATAGCTGAATACCACGTCTACGCTAGAGATGACGACGTCAGTTGGCTGGCAAATGCCACAACAGCCTTTTCTATTCTTGCCGAGATTTTGTCAACAGTCCGGTCCACTAGAGCTGATCCAACTTTCCAAACGGTCAACACGCTCTACCACCTCACTACCTATCTTTAGACTAGGAGTTGCTTTAGCATCCATCATCTTACATTGCAAAGGAGCAAACCGTTAAACCAAACATTCGAAGATTGCTGCTTCAAAAATGTTCAGAAGACTCTGCATTTTATCAGAGTCTTCCCCTAGGAGAACTATACTATCCGCATATTTTAAATCAACAAGACTATAGCCCGGTAACGAGTGAATCCGTAAGTCGCTGATGTCAGTTAGGGTCGTTGTTATTAGTACAATTATTAGATCTAGACAGGTATAAAGCTTAATTCTTATTTGTTTATTAACTAGCATGAGAATACAAAGTATTCCAGAGTTTATATTCGGTATATGATGAACGGTATGTCGTATTCTCGTGCAGTGGACACTGTCAGTCCCCGACCGAGTAGTCTGATTTCGCATTTAGCTAAAAATATAGTAAATTTTGATGAGTCTTACCTGTTTAACTTCATAACTAATGTTAGGTTATTGACCTCTTGATTTCGAAATGTAATCATGGCCTAACTGTCATTATATTTGATGTAATAAAGATCTGTAGCGGAGATGTGTAGCTCAGTGGCTTAAGCACTTAACTTTTAGCCAGTAGGTCCTGGGTTCGAATCCCGCTCTACATATGTTTCAGTCTGGGCGGCATCATCCGCCCTCACATAATAAATCTGGCTCATAGCCCGGTACATTGTAGGTGATTTCTAACCGAAGGTTAGTAGCTGTAGGGAAAGATGTGCGAATTAATAATTTATCATAAACATCTCGCTACTAGTCGCTCAATACTCAAGATCAGATGGCCAGAAAAGATCAGCAACAGAGAGGAATCTCTGGCAATGAGCGAACCAACTCAGCAGGAACCGATTGTGAAATGGAGATGGATTGGCCATACTCTAAGGAAACCATCAAGTGACATCCCTAGACAAGCCATTGCTCGAGTTGACTCCGAAAGGGAGGCGGCGAGTTGGTCGTCAGTGCGAGGGTGACTTGGAGGAGGTCATGTGAAGAGGAGATGAAAACGTGTGGGCAGACTTGGAGCCAGGTGAAGACTCTAGCAGAGGACCGAACGCAATGGAGACGCGTGGCTGAAGCCCTATGTTCCTCTAGGAATTAAATGAAACAATAATAATAATACTAGTCGTGGCAATAGTCATTTGTACACCCAACAGTACTGGACAGCTGTTTCGCCTTCTTTTAGGAGTCCACTCAGGACTATTTTCAGGTTACAAGGCGAGCTTGTAGGTCATTTGTTTAGCCACTGGAACGGAATCCAACCGCCTATCAGTTGTGACAAAGCGCGACTAGCAGCCAATGTCATCGGTGAGTGTTTTTCGTCACACTCAGCCTGGTGAACTCGGCTGCAAAAATTAGTCTGGTGACTTGTTGGATGATCAGGTCATGCAATTCCCCCCCCCCATGTTTTATATATGTATCGAATTTCACCGTGAGGATGCATCTGTGCACAATTTTTCAATCTCTGGTCATACATGGAATAAAGCTACTTCACTTCAAAATTGTTTATTATTATTATGTTTATTTTATTTTGTTCTTATATATATATTGTGACCTCTTTTTCTGTTCTATTTCAGAAACCATCGAAATGCGATTTATCTGTACATGGTAGTCGTGATATTGGTTGGCATATTCCTTATCATAGTGGAAAATCTCGAAAGTTTTATACTGCAGTTAACTCATGGCTTTGTTTACGTCGAGTAAAATAAATTATTATTATTATTTTGATAAAATTAACTCTTCTTATTAATCACGATTGGTTACTACGTCGTAAATAGATAGTGTCATGTTTCAAGTCCTTCTTCTCGTTCAGACTGAATTTTATGACAGTCAAGTTTGTAATGTATGTGCCCAACTTGCTAGGCGGTCGTGGCTCACGATCACAGTGCACCTTAAATTTTTGTTACTAGATATTTGAAGGGAATTGGCAAGAAGCTTTGCTAGGCCTAGGTTTCGTGCTAGTTGGCACTCATTATCAGTAAAGCGTGTCTGCAATATTCGGGGAACTCATGTGCCTTCTGAAACTTGAACCCGGGTCAACCAGTACTGCAGTCAAAGACGTTAAACTATTGAGCTATTCGGACTCACGATTGACATTCTGTAGGACTGTAATTGATATGGACGTGAATTCCTCCAAGATAACAGGTACGCGTTACTGACGTGTGCTTACAAGCAAGAAACCTAGATCTAAGACTTCATGCCGATTGTTTCCAACCATCATGAAGCATACTGAGATTTGTATAAAGAAGTGAGTGATTTTTAAAGTTAGGATATCTTATAGGTGGTGGAAACACAGTGCACTGACTATCTATCTGCAAATTATTTTATATTCATGTTGTCTTTTGTTCCTGTCATTTCTTCGACGATCGTCAGTAGTGTTCTAAGCCTCTGATGTCTTTCTCTGCTTTGAGACGAATAGTACAGACTGCCAATATTTATCCAGAAGATATTACACTATACACTTGTTACTTACTGTCCATTATTATAAGTAGTACTCACTGTACAGTTTCAAGTCAATAGTATAGTCTATAGGAGTTAGACTCTCCACAATGTATATGTTTCAAATCGAAACTAACGCATTTCAGGGGTGCTTCGTGGACGTTTGGAGGTGTGTGTGTGGGGGGGTGGTTGTTACTTCCCAGCTGCTCACACCGTCGAAGTTGATTTTCTCCTCCTTGACCTCATAGCCAAGAGGACAACTGCTTGAGGCCGGTCACACACGGCGTGTATGAACCGGCTTTTTGGTTTCTTTCCGTATTAGTAACATACCGATGGCTACGGACCATCGTAAGGGATGTCGGGATGTATAAATCCATATTAGTTTGTTTATTAGATGTATCACACAGTAAGTGAAACAGTATTATTTACTGGATGACGTTTCGAACAAAATTTATTGTTCATAATCATCCCATCAATTTATAATCACACGACTTCGAAACTTGAGTTTTATAGTTTTCTTTGTCTTCTCCTATTTGTCGTCGTTGGGGTAGTAGAATTTTCCAGATATCCGGGAAAGGTGATGAATCATTCCTATTACACGTGTTTGCAGTTGATTCGATAAACAAAGCTTCTGTTTTCAATCTCTCCCTCCACCCTGTGACATTAGATTTTACAACTGTCATCCTATCCTATGCATCCTATTGTATGGTTGTGTGTAACTGCATGTGGTGCTATAGCTGAACTATTCTCTGAATTTCTAAAATATGTGTAAAACTTGGGCACAGCATAGCTGGCATGACTGGTCATCTTGCTGCTGTTACATGCTTATTCCCCAGCAGTACGACATTGCCCACAGATTCCCAAGCATAATGTAAAAAAATGTTACACTATGCCGGTACTGCTTTTAGTCTAATCGCTATCCTAACAACCTTCCCGGCATGGTAGGACCTGCAGGAACATTGGTTCCAGTAAGTATAGCTTGTCCGGTCATTGCGATATGCAAGCCCGATCACCACCACGTCAAGGCAGCAGTTATCGGCCGGGCATTGTATCGACTCAGTGAATTAAAGAAAAGACTAAGGGATTCAATAACTAGCGACCAAAATCACATTTTCCGAATATGACGTAATAGTCGTTGTGACCTTACGGGAAAATCATAGTTACAGATCAGTCTGTCTATGGTAGATTCTGTAGGTAAGTCAGGATGTTTGAATGATGTCACAAACTTTTTCTGAGTCAGCACTTTTTAGAAAGATGCTCCAAATAACCTTCTCAGTGTGGTCTAAGAACTTGCTTCAACACATAAATATAGCAATCCGAATTGCCACTCTCCATTTAACACACAAAAGAGATTCAGAGGAATGATAACAAGCAGAAAAGAAAAAAGGATCGCAGAAAGTGCACGCATTTACGCGCCATTCAGAACGATTTTGAGCTTTATCACCAACTGTCTCCAGCAATTGGTTCTGAGATTCCGAAGGACCCCAACCAAACAGCCTACGTGTCTGACTCATCAAACCGACTGTCAAGAATTTCATGGACTGATCTTTTCCAACCTATTTCCATGTCAGCTACCATTAATTGTTGAGGAAGGCGATGGCTAGACATGAGTAATGCATGTCCATTTCAGTGACTGACTTTCCTTACCAAAAGCTCGACGCGTAACATAAGTATTACTCACCCTATTATACCACCTAACAAGGGAGACAGAAAGCAGACATCTATGATCAAAGACAGCCAGCCTTTACATGCCATCCACTTTCAAATGCCATATCTCAGCCCTAAAGGAGGGCGGAGCGAAATGATTAGCAGTACACTCGTACTTCGATTGATAGCCGGGTATCACGCCCACGCCAGATATTACGTAGGCTGGCAAGCGCCTCACGAGCAGTTTGCGTTCGTGCTAAGATTTCGTCAGAAATCAGTCTCTTCGGGCTGATGCAGCTTCCGAAAAAAGTGAAAGAGTCAATATGTTCTACGACTTCACTCCCTATTTACAAGCTAGGAGTCGTTGTAGTTCAGTCCTGTAGCATCATTTTGCATGTGACAGGAGCAAATTGCATGCCAAACATTCGAAGTTTGCTGCTCAGAGGACTGCGAGGACAATCACGTCTGCACATTCTAAGCCAAGAACACTATTCCCTGGTGACAAGTGAGTCTCTAAATCGTTGAAGTCAGTTAGGGTTACTTCCATTAATACAGTGGGCATCCCTGACAGACACTGTTGGCTGTCATCACTTCATAGTATGACTCCATGCTAGTTTGTTTATCTGATGTAACATAGTGATACAAAATTATTTACAGGATTACGTCTTAAGCATGAATTATTGCTCGCAATGACTTTCAAATTCATTTTATAGTTCTGAAGTGCCGTACTACTTCCTTCTCACTAGCAGAAAGACGGGCTAAATAACTGAAATAGGCGTCGACTCATTTCTATAACGTGTACTCACTCAGTACTGATTCTATAAGCAATAGTTAGTGCCTCTTTTACCTTAACTATAACAAATTTTTAAACTCCTGCCCCATGTTACCCAGCACTGTAATTTCGTCTCATTGAGCGCATTGCAGTGACTGAGTGTTTTCCCTGGGTAGTGCATTCTACTATGCGGTGTTCGCATATTCCGAATGATCACGGCCATTGGCTTTAACCAGCACATAACATTTAATTGTGTTTTGCGTTATACTGACTAGAGGATTTTTCTTTCAGCTCACATAGTTCCTTTCTGAGAAGGTTTCTTCATTCCACATATGTTTAAACCCCTAAGTTAATTTTATGACACCTCTTCTCAATTTATTCTACTAATGTAGATAACAATTATCAAACAATAAAGAACATTCTGCTGATCTCTCCTGGTCGTCTCATATCTTGACGATTTCTAAGAAAGTATTCCGTCTTACCTTCTACATCAAGAAGTTAAGACATTCTGGTATAACCCAACCCTTACTCCTACAATTCGTTAACTCTCGCATTCTGCCTATTATTCTCTATTGTTCCCCGGGCTTAGTTTTTCCAGGGCTACTGAAGAAAGACTGTAACATCATATTACGCAGGATGTTAAAGGTTGTCAGCAGGGTAAGCAACGTACCACTTAACCAGCTTCTTAATATTCTGGTTGACAGGCAGGCACATGGACTCATGTGAAAAATGGGCCAAATCCATTTTATCTAACTCACACCACCCTCTTCACTCACAACTCTCCCCTTGCATCTCATCAGGCAAAACCAGAAGTCTATATAGAAAACCATATGCTCGCACCAGCAAGTACAAAAACTCAACCATCTCCTACTTAGCTCTTGTTCTGTGCGATAAAGAAAGCATTAGGTGTGATACCTATAATTCATTAAATAGTCAGTAGAACAACTGGATCTCGTCTTTCGAACTCATATCATCTATAGGTGCAACATTTTCTTTCTTTCTCTTCCTATGTTGTTGTCATAATGAACTGAGACTATTCTTAATCTATGTAGAATTTTATTTATTGTTAATATACAAACTGGATGCACTACTGTAGTAAAAATGCTGAGAATTCCATTCTGTATCACAAGTACTGTTTTGGAATAAAGCAAATTATTATTATTATTGATCAAGCTCTTACTTTGCCTTGCCAGCTGTTCTTCATCTGACGTAGTATACATCTGATTGAGTCGGCGGAGGATAAAATACACGTACCATGATTGATGTCATTTCACCGTACCTTAGCACACTGGAAAATATTAGAGCAATCGAATCAGGACCATGTCTCGTAATAATAAATATCCTAGTTAATAATTCAAACATTTTTGTTTTATTCCCTGACGTTTCGAGTGCAGCATAGGGTGGCTTCAAGCTAGAGCTTTGAAGTTCCGGTAGTAGTGGTTTTATTGTTACGGATGGGAGTTGCTAAACTGACGCCCAACCTTCCCTTTTTACTGGCTTAGCGAGGTTCAGAAGTACGTCAGCCGAGGATTGAACCCCGGACCACGTGAAGCGTGGTTGGCGAGTGTTCGACCGTCCAATCACCGATACGACATGGGTATTACTGTCCAATAATTATTTCCCTAAGTATATCAGAATTATTGAGAAACAAACAATATAAACAGCGGTTAAAATAATGCAGATGTCAAAGCCTCTGCAGAATTTTGGAAAAGATGGTTTTTACGCTTACCCAAGAAAAAATTCGTTAGTGGGCGGGGGTCCTCTAACTGAAGTCAATTCATGATCAACATTGAAATCAATCGAGTCTCCGCAAATCAGCTATCCACCATCTAGCGCTCACTAGTGACTGACTATATATAAGATGAAATGCCTGGAGTTTCAGTGTGAAGTTGTGATCAGCAGGGCTCAATAAGTTGGGCCTGAAGACTGTTACACAC